TCCTTGTCCAACAGTGAGAGGCGGATTTAGAATTTAAACTTAATATGTTCAACCTTTAAGGTTCTTATCACTAAACACATTGATCTATCGGACCTATGTGTTTAGATTTTAATATTTGCTCTCATTTTAGTACTTTTCACATATGTATTTATGTCCGGCATTATATGGTCCCTCTAACTACGAAGTTAATTTCTTGGATGGTCATTCAACTAATAGTAATTATTTGAGTAATATAAGTCACTTTCTTTGTTGAAGAAAATTGGAATCAAGTTGAAAAATGACTTTCTGAGATAATAACTATTAGTAAAGTGACCATATGAGAAATCAATCCGCCTTTGCAGACAATTACAGCTTGTTTAAACTCCCTGTCTTACTTAAGCATGTACAATAATGTGCTTACTGTTGGGTTTAACAAGGTGTGAATGGGAAATAAAAAGAGAAATTGGAAAGTGGAAGAATCAATGAAAGTGGGGGAACCAATTTTGGAGGGAAAATGAAAAGTCATTGCAAAAGTGCAAATGAAAGGTCATTTTTACCATATTGGTAGAAGAAAGGAAATTGTTGTCCTTATATTAGGAAACACTTCCTTTAGTTCTTCAAGGGTTAAGAAGAAGGTGCCCCCTCGCGCCGTCTTCGGCTTTGGCTTCGGATTTGGATTTGACAAATGATTGATTGATAATATTTTTGGACAAAATTTATTTAATCAATCTTATTAAATCATTTCCTTTCTCTTATAAATTAATTCAGAATGTTAATTAAATAACATAATTAATTTGGCGCAACTGAATTTATTTGAAATTCACGTGTAACGGTAATCCTTCCAAAAAGTCGTTACTTTTCCCAAACGGTAATCCTTCTGAAAAGTCGTTACTTTTCCCAAAGGACACAATGTTCTGAAAAAAACGGGTCTGAACAGACGCGTTCCTTGCTGCAAATGGCTATAAATAAGAGGTCTTTTTCGTTTTTTCAAACACTAAATTTTTTTTCTCTCTGCATACATTTTCTTACATAAATAAAATTGTCGATCGACCCCAAACTTACTTACTCGTGGCAACCTTCCGGCCGCCCAACGACCTATAACGCTAGTCACTACTCCCACTGGGGCTAGGAAGTAAGCCCCACAACCCAAAGAAGTTCATGTAGGTCGGATCCTAGCGTAGATAAATGCTATCCGACTTGAATGATCAAATTTTGCGTTTAGAGTTTCGTACCCAGGCACGGAATCCACTTGCCAACTGATCCGAGTTTGAATTGGGGAACGAACGATCTAAGTAAGGAGGTAGCTCCAGGAAGGTAGTTCTTTGACCCAGTTCAGTGAGACCGGGGCTTAGCTCTTTGAAGCAGATGTTTAAGGAAGTTTCAAAATGCTTACTCGAAAGAGTAAGGAAGAAGAGCTACTTTTATTTAAGCGGAATCAGAGCTCTTGGGTAAGAAGGCAGGAAGAAGTTCACACCAGGATTGAAGAAGCGGGTTTAATAGAACCAGGGTCAGCGAAAGACAATGGAAAAGGCTGCTTGTAAGCGTGATCCTCTATCCTCTCTCTTTCTATCATCAGAGAATCAATCTTGTAGCCTAGCTACGTAGCAGGCTTAGAGCCTTTTGATGGAGGAAGAACCGCTCTTGTTGTTGTTCTTGCGTTCGCTGAAGTTATTGAAGTTTGAGGTACCGCTACTTCTTTAACAGGTTAATCCGTTTTATCTTGAGAGGAATTAATCTGCAACCTCGGGTACAGTGAGGGGATTAAATTTCTTAAGGAAACACAGTGATTTCTGTGGACTCGGATTAAAAATCATTCTGTCTATTTCATCTTTTTCTGTTTCTGTATTTTTGACTAACCTGAATACATGAGATAACACTTACTTCACCAAATATTTCCATGATAGATCATGTATAATGTTGCGGTTTGCTGATTTGCTTGAGAGGCACAGTGATGAACTTGCAGCACTTGAGACTTGGGATAATGGAAAACCTTACGAACAAGCTGCAAATGAAGAAATACCAATGCTCATTCGTCTTTTCAGATACTATGCTGGTTAAGAAAATAAAAATAATGGTGTTATGTTTCCTGTTGACAGTTTAATAACCACTTATTGTATATCCAGTGACGTTCTAATGTTTGCTGAATCACCCTGAATGCTTTTCTAAGTATTTCTGCTTACATTCTTATTCAGGTTGGGCGGATAAAATTCATGGTCTTACAGCTCCTGCTGACAGTTTGCACCATGTTCAGACCCTGCATGAGCCAATTGGTGTTGCCGGACAGATAATACTCTGGAATTTTCCGCTATTAATGTTCACTTGGAAAGTTGGCCCTGCACTTGCTTGTGGTAACACTGTCGTACTAAAACCAGCAGAACAAACACCACTCTCTGCCCTGTATGTGTCAAAGCTATTCCATGAAGGTATGTACCCATATTTAGTCTGCACCGGTCGTGAATTCACAGAATTCTAATGAGTACTCATTTGTACTTGTCATTTAGTTCTTTCTAGTATGTTGTTTACAAATTCAGTATTTCAAATATACAAGTGGAAACTTTTCCACAATTATTGCAGCTCAACTCGAAGATTTCTCCGTCTATACAAGATGATAGCCTGTAATTTGTGCTTCACTCCATCTGTCAGGTTGGACTTCCTCCCTGGAGTCTTAAATGTCATTCCTGGATCCGGTAGTGCAGGTGCAGATCTTGCCAGTCATATGGATGTCGATAAGGTATTTTCTGAGTTTCGACTTTAGTTCCTGAATAGGAATTTACAGAACTAATGGCTTATGTTTCTTCTGATAAACCTACACGACAAAGTCCAAGGCAGTTTTGATATCAAATTTGAAATGTTGGATTATATAAAGGAGTGTCAGAACATGGTATTTCAGTTTCAACATATATCTAGGTAGCAATGAAGCTATCTGACGCTAATTCTACCCCCTCTCCCACCCCAAAGAAGATTAAAAGAAGTAAAATAACCTAATTATAGCCTCTCGTTAGATAGTATAATCCACATGTAGAAAATGAAGAAAATTATATCTTTTTCTTCCAGCTTCCCCATTAAAAGTCATACAACATAAAGAGGTTATGCATCCTGATGTCCTTTCAGCTTTTGTATTTCATGCTTGCTTTTATTGATACAGCTGTGATGTGTAAAGCTTTCTGAGTGAATACTCTGGAATAGGTTAGGGACACTGAAGGAGCACTGACATCTTCTAGTACTTGTTTTCGTATAGATTTAAACAGCGTGGCCCTCGACATTACTTCTTGCATCTTTTCCCCGTATAAAATATTTTTTTTGGTGATTTTTTATTTTTTCTGTGATGTCTAAATTGCAATGTGTCTCTACATCACTCCTTTTGGTGTCTACGGATTGCTTTTACAGGGTCCACAGAAACTGGTAAAGCTGTCGTAGGTGCAGCTGCAAAGAGCAACCTAAAAGCCAGTGACATTGGAGCTCGGAGGAAAATCTCCTTTCATCATTTGTGAAGATGCAGACGTTGATAAAGCTGTTGAGTTGTCTCATTCTGCCGTTTTCTTTAACTAGGTGGAAAATTGCAACCTCTGATGCTTGGTCCGGAATGGAATAAATTTCAAGTATCTGCAGGGACAATCCTGCTGTGCTGGATCTCGGACATTCGTACATGAAAGAGTATATGATGAATTTGTGGAGAAAGCCAAGGTTCGTGCTTTAAAACTAATCGTTGGAGACCCTTTCAAGAAGGGAGTTGAACAAGGTCCTCAGGTACTGTTTTTTCGTGTATCGCTGTCCCCTCTGTCATGGATAATATAAAAAAAAAAAAGAGAATAGTTAAACAAATTCTTTTCCAACTTAAGGACAAGAAGGAATAATATATGTTCACCAATTTGGATGTAGCCAACTTTTCTGGCAATGGTACCTTATTATTTCCTTTTCAGCATCTTACACAAACTTAAATCATGAAGTTCCAGCAAAGGGAAGTAGTAATCACGGACTTTCATTTACATTTCTTAAGTAGTTGTAACATGACTTTTTTGTGTTATCAATAGATTGATACAGAGCAATTTGAGAAGATCCTTAAGTACATAAAATCTGGTACTGAAAGGGGGCTACTCTTGAGTCTGGAGGGGAAAAATTGGGTTCCAAGGGCTTCTATGTCCAACCTACTGTCTTCTCAAATGTCCAGGTATAACTGCCATTGTCCATAGAATATATCCATACGTAAGGTGAAAAAGATAAACATCGTACTGATGACATCTAATTGTTTTGTTTAAAATTATTTTTCAACTATTAGGATAACATGCTGATTGCCAGAGATGAGATATTTGGACCAGTGCAGTCCCTCTTGAAATTCAAGTGAGATTACATTTCATTTGTAATGTAGCTGTGCTTGTATTTTGTTTATTAACACTGAATCTGACCTTGAAACAAACAGGGATGTTGAAGAGGTCATTCGAAGGGCAAACTCGTCACATTATGGGTTGGCGGCGGCCGGCGGCAGGTGTTTTTACCCAGAATATAGATGCAACCAACACAATATCTCGAGCCCTTAGAGTAGGGACAGTGTGGGTTAACTGCTTTAACATCTTTGATGCTGCCATTCCTTTTGGTGGTTATAAGATGAGTGGACATGGAAGAGAAAAGGGAGTCTACAGCCTAAGTAACTACTTGCAAGTCAAAGCTATTGTTACCCCTCTGAAGAATCCAGCATGGCTGTAGTTTTCCCTCCTGCTTTCTGATACTCCTGAGATGTCATGCAACATGGCAATCTTGTTTTTTTGAGGTCACTTGTTTACAGTGTAGATAAGACCAAAACGCTATATTGTGTTTGTGTTATTGTTTGTTACTAACTTTTTATGATTTGATAACAATATGCAACCTTGTTTGTGTGAAACCTTTCTTGTATTTCTGTAGCTCTGATGCAAAATAGGATCTTGTTTTTGAGTTTTGTGGGAATGTAATGAATTGATATATAGATGTAATGTTATACTTCTATATTACTACGGTATATATCTTGTTCAATGAACTGTCTATGATGAGATAGATTAGGTAACATTTTCAACTATTGTTCTATATTGTTCTTGGAAAGAAGTTGAAGACCACACTGGTGTAGAGTGAGGTGTTGAAGCTTTTTCCCTTCTTGTTATAGCTAAGGCCTCCTCCAGCTTGTCAACAACGTTCTCAATGGAGGGTCTTTGTTGCTTTGGTGCAATGCAAGAAATAGCTAGCTCCAGTGTGAGCTGGAAAGCATCTGTTGAGTAATCTCCATGAAGTTTTGGATCAACAAAATCCACTGCCCTTCTTTCCCTCAACAGCGATTTTGCCTGAAATGACAGGTATTTATCAACATTCGTATAATCTTCTAAGAGTAATGAATGATTGATTTATGAAAGGGATATTTGCTTACAATTTTGTCCAGCCGTGTTGGTTTTTCTATGTTCATATTGATAACTTTCCTTCCAGAGAGGATCTGCAGAAGTACTATTCCGAAACTATAGACATCGCCTGCTGAATTTACATGATGGTTTGTTTCATATTCAGGATCGATATAACCATAGGTGCCTCTCACTTCTGAGATCATGTAGGATTCGTCAATGTCTATCACTTTGGACAATCCGAAATCAGAAAGCTTAGCTTCAAAATTCTGGCCTAAGAGTATGTTTGTAGGCTGTGGATTAATATAAAGCAAGTGACTTAGCCATTCAGGAAAGTCCAAAGTTCAAACCTTTGAAGTGAATTCATACCCATTTTCTACCTTTATATCGCGGTGGATTATACTTCTGTCATGATAGGTGTGAAGAAACAAGAGTCCCTTAGCACTATCAATGGCAATCTCAAGCCTTTGAGTCCAGGATAGTACTCTATTGTTTGCTGTTTCAACAAAGGTAATCTCACCATTCACCATTACACAGTAGAAGGAAGGGACAAGGAAACAAAAGGAAATGAAATAGCTCTTTCAATAGCACTCAATAGTGTGGCTTAGCATTCAAATCCTATAAAAGACAAAAAAGCGCTAGGTGATTTCTTTCCATCTATTTAATCCTTGCTGAGGTAGAGTTATCCAATACTTGTGCAGGTTGAAAGATAGGAGCTTCTAGGTAGAGTAGTCGAGGGAAGGCATAAACAATTAGAGAAGTTGACATTTAAAGCAGAGAGAATTGTTACATACCAAAGAGCCACTGAGAGAGATTGCCATAGGGACAAATTTCATAAATGAGGAAACATTCTTTGGCATTCTTACTATAGCCAAGCAAGGCTACCAGGTTTGGATGTCTGACATTAGTTAGGCTTTTGACTTCCCTGAGGAATGTTTCTATACATTCTTCATGGGTTATGTGCTTAATTGCAACCTCCTGATTATTAGGGAGAACTCCTCTATACACCCTTCCTATAAGAATATTATCAGTGAAATTTTTCAAAATTCAACAGTAAAAATCAGTTCCTATAAATGGAGAACAAAGTTAATATAGGTGCTAACCTGCTGTCCCCTCACCAATGAAGTTTGATTCATTTAGATTGTTTGTAGCTGAGTAGACCTCCTCAATGGAGACTTCCAAACTAGAATCTTTTGGCAGATCTATAGCTGCCAATTAAGTTATCAACCTTTTCAGTCCGTATATGGAACATGTTCAAGAGTTACAAAGATGAAAAAGGTGGCAATTATCTTTCAAGTGACCTGATAGCGTAAAAATTCTTGTACACTGTTAGAAGTTAGACTGAGTGGCAAAAACATTACCAAATTTCTTCTCAGATGCATCTACATTGGCCCTTTTACGTATGAAAGCCCACACAGAGATAAATACAGTTATCAGGACTGCTAGGATTCCTCCAATTAGAACTGATATAACTGTTTCAAGTTCAAATTACACATTAAACATGAAGAAATCCATCTTCTAATGATGCACAGAACTCTAAAAGTTGGATTACCTGGTCTAAACTTGTGTTTTTCTGTCAGCTCCGAGTGCTCTTCTTCCTCTTGCTCTTTTTCTTTGGTATGTGCAAAGTTCACAGGTTGCTTTTGATTTGAAAGGCAATTGTAAAGCTTTCTGAGCCACGCTTGATCTGTAATTCTAGTACTTGTTAGTGATACTAATACTGCAAACCTACATATATCTGATTCTGCCTCCGTGTATTTGTCATTTTTCGACTTCATTTCCTTTATATCTTTCCAGCTATTTACACAGGACTCACACAAATGACCTCTTTTATCAGCAGTGTCCTGAAATTGACAGTTATAACTCAACTTTCTGAGTTTGTCTCCTAACTTTATATTAGCATCATTAACAGAGAAATTTGAGCAGCTGCCACCAGTTTTTGTTAGCTTCTCAATACCACAACCGAAAGCATCAATTCTATTTCCTTCATCATTCATCTTAGTCAAGCAGTTCGTTTGCTGAGTCGAATTCAGGTACATTTGTCCTGTTTTATTTGCTCTGATTCCCATTGCATAGAGGTAGTCTCGAAAGGGTCCTCCACAGGTTTCATCATTCAAGAAACTACCCCAGTTTCCACCTTCGTCACGCACATTATACGGTACTGAAAATTTTCCAAGTTGAAGGATGCATTCAGCAGCAGAAGGCTGTGAAAATGTAAGGCAGCATGTGTTGATTAAGTTGAAAATGCAGATAGAAGTAATGACATTGAGATGTTTAGTCCTGTCCCTTGTGTAAATTCCCATTAGAAGTTCTTCCATCAGCCCGTCTTTCAGAAACAGAGAGGTCGTATTGAAGTATGTGAGGTTTTTAGATGAGATAGTCACACAATTCAATATAGCAGCGGATATTTTCACGTGTTTGACCCATGAAAAAGAATCAGGCCACTCGTGAGTGGGCGTTGTTGAGATATAAAATAATTAAATGTGGGATTTCACTAATAACTTAAGATAACATTATTCAAATAACATGATTTTCATAGTACCAAACTGCATAATTATGTCAGCCAAGGGAAGAAAGGCAGTTGAAGGGAAAAAGTTGTGCTCCTTAGAAGAAAGTTGAAGAGAAGTAACTGGTTTCTTGGATGAAAAAAAGGTCTGATTTTTGTACGTGAAAGGTAAACAAGGTGGGCTTTCGATGTGTAGCTGTTTCTTTACAAAGTAAAGAATATTCTTGGTTTAAACCAAACTAGCACTTGTCGAACGCCGGCTTACACCTATGATGAAAATGTAAGGAGGTTTGTAGCTTGTACCATGTTGTTACTTTGATTTTTGCTTTGTTAGTTTTCATTTGTATTCGAGAAAGAATACAACAACTAGAGGCCAGAGACAGGTATCGAGCCATAAGTGCAATTTATACATTTCGTTTCTGTTTGTATAAGTGAGAGAGGCGAGTGAGCGAGCGAGATCTAGGAGAGGGGAGAGAGGGGAACGAAAATTACAATTTTCTCTCGCTTTATACAAACACAAACGCATTTTATACATTTGCATTTTTGTATAAAGTGAGAGAGGCGAGCGAGACTGCCACCAAACGAGAGTGGCGAGCGAGATTCCACCAGGGAGAGTGACGAAAATAGCAATGGTTTGCTATAGGGTACAATTAAATCAAAGTATATTTATAGCATTTAATTTGAATTAATAGTTTGTTATTATATACAATTTTCCCTCTAATATATGTTCAATAGTTTCAAGTTTTATGCATTCACAGGTCCCAAATATTTAGACAATCAAGTTACGGTATTTATAAGGTAATCTTTATTATGAACATTAACTGGTACTACTCTTTTCCACATACCTCACAAGTTAGTACAATATAATTGTGTAACCCAATGTTTAAATGTATCTGAATATATACAAACGAAAGAACATCACTCTCCACACAAACTATAAGCAACAACATAAATTTTATTCAATTCTGGTAGTAAATTCTTAGCTAAGTATAAAGTGAGAGAGACGAGTGAGAGAGCGAGATCTGGGAGAGTGGCGAGCCAGATCTGGGAGAGGGGAGAGAGGGGAACGAAAATATATGTATATATACAATTTTCTCTCGCTTTATACAAACACAAACGCATTTTATACATTTGCATTTTTGTATAAAGTGAGAGAGGCGAGCGAGACTGCCACCAAACGAGAGTGGCGAGCGAGATTCCACCAGGGAGAGTGACGAAAATAGCAATGGTTTGCTATAGGGTACAATTAAATCAAAGTATATTTATAGCATTTAATTTGAATTAATAGTTTGTTATTATATACAATTTTCCCTCTAATATATGTTCAATAGTTTCAAGTTTTATGCATTCACAGGTCCCAAATATTTAGACAATCAAGTTACGGTATTTATAAGGTAATCTTTATTATGAACATTAACTGGTACTACTCTTTTCCACATACCTCACAAGTTAGTACAATATAATTGTGTAACCCAATGTTTAAATGTATCTGAATATATACAAACGAAAGAACATCACTCTCCACACAAACTATAAGCAACAACATAAATTTTATTCAATTCTGGTAGTAAATTCTTAGCTAAGCACCAATTCAATCCAGGACTGAACATCTGGTGTGTGGAAATGGAGCTCTTTGGTAAACCAGGAAGAGAGACGAGTTTACTCGCTATCAACTAATTAGATTTATCAATTTCTTGACCCTCTCTCAACTCAATTCTTGTCTCGTTTGACCACTTCCACTGCTTTCTCCTGCAGATATGGAACAGCCCCTCAGAATATCGGTGCTAGTTCTGCAAATTGGACAATAGAGAGACTTCAGGAGCCACAAGTCTATGCATTCAGCATGAAAACTGTGGTTGCATTGAGGCAACATTCTGCACTTATCACCCACCTTGAAATTGTCCAAACAAATTGCACAGTCCACTGGAGTACTAGTTCCCTTCTCTTTGGCTTGAAAAACGAAGCAAGGAAGCTTTTCTATATCCTCCTTGGACATGGACATGCTGGTGCTCCCTCTCTCTGCCATATTAATGTTGTCGGTTCTTCTGTTAAACTCCCTCAATACTACACAGATGTGAATCAGGACAAGAACTCCGACTAAAACAAATAGCGATAGCACTGATATCACCATTGCCAGGATTATAACCCGTGTGGCAGTGCCCAGTTTTTGGTTCTTCATTGTAAGTTGAATCCTTTTGGAAATCTCATGATCTAAGGAGGAAATGAAGAGATTACTTGCACATTGCAATTACTGAAATGATTATTTTTTTAAGGATTGAGATGAACTTTTGTATAAAATATATATATGAGACCTATCACTTAAAAGAATTTCGGACGGCATAGGAAGTTGACCCGTAACATGTGTTGATGAAGATACACACAAGACCAAGTCCAAACTTGTATCTTCCAACCATTTCTTTTGATGAATTTAGAATGACGCACTTGGCCAAATTAGATTTCCTCAGCGAAAAAAATAAATTCTTTTTGCAATGTATAGTGTTGGCCTGGGTTAGGTTGCAGTCATGACTACTATGCAAAGCCCTGGATTCTAACATTTGCCATTTAAATCTCAGCATTGTTGTTGGCTGTCACACGGTATATGATCCTCTTGCCTCAAGGAGCCATCACCTCAACGTGGACAAGGAAAATCTCCAAATATATCATAGGGAATAATTCAACACAAGATGGATACGAGAGCACAAGACAATCATTAGAAGGAAGCGTGTAGATGAAATGCAGCAACTCCCGAAACCAATAGATTTAATATACCATGGGAAGAAAGCAGCAACTCCCAAACTAATATAACATGGCAAACAATGCCATTATGAACAACTTCTCTTCACTTCACAATAATGGAATTTACTTTTCAATCATTAGCATACCATGGGAAAAATGAACGAGCACAATTACATGTATACTGCAATGCAAAGCAAGCATTCATGAATTACTTTAAGTATAATGCAAACGTAATCTAAACCATATTTCAAGACACTATAGAACTACAGTTCTATATATGGTCTAACTGCCTCGCAAACACCTCAAACCTTTCATGGTATATACAGGTATAAGAAATCAAACCAAAAAATGGGGAAGGCCAATGGTGAACTATAGCTCGTTGCTTGCACAAATACTATGAAGCTAAAACTATACCCTCCCTAGTGAGATTGGTTACACGAAGAACTGCTTGAGCACTCAAAGGCGAGAGCTTTGATTGACAGAAATGCTCCCAGGAAATTGTTTCTGGGTCTCCACTCACGGAAATTGTTTCTGGGTCTTCACTCACTACTGGTGGGGGGGTAACATTGAGTGCTTTTTCGTAGATATTTTGCAGTTCTAACAACAGTGTACGAGCAGCCTCCCTTGACTCAGGAAGCTGGTCACTGAGCTGGGATGCAGCTATTCGGATCAAGTTCTCAATTCCATATGCTTTGATTCCCTCTACTCCCTGTAAAACATGCAACTCTGTTAGTAAAGACCAGATTTAGTAGTAAAAAGGAAATTAGGCAAACACCTAAGAAAACAAAAACTAAGAGCAAGACGAAGTTTATTCCTCTTTCACATTTCAGTGATATGATCATACATGAAAAGGCACGAATGTAAGAAAATGTTTCCCGTGCTGAGGGTCCACTAAGATGTAATCTTTCTTGTTTTCATTCAACAAGAACAAATATATACCGCTGAATAATAAACTAACCACCACAAGGGGATTGACTAATGAAAGTGACTAGCTATAGCATTGTGAAAAAAACGTATTGGAGAAACCATGTAAAAGTTCCTAATATACTCAAATGACTGACAAATTTTTACCTAGTCATTTCCTTAACCAGAAAAATAATTCTTAACACACTCTCAAGAAGGGTTTCCTACTAGGGTGGAGTTTAGTATCAAGACATTGTCAATAAAACATAGCCAAGGGAAGATCTTAACAAATCATTACCAAGTCATTCCCTTAACCGGTAAAGTAATTAGTAAAACACTCTCAAGAAATGTTTCCTCCTTGAGCTGAGTTTTGTATCAAGATATTGTCAATAAAACATAGCCAAGGGAAAAGGTCTTAGTCAGCAAATAGCAAACAAACTGGGTTAACAATGAATTGCAGGAAAAAGAACGAAAATAGTAATAACTAAAATTCACAGGTCAGGGTGCATAAGGAAGAGATTTTAGAACTTATAACTCTCACCAGACGTGGTACACTTCGAGAAAAGCAGCTTGAAGCTTTTGCTCGAATTCGAGGATTTCTGTGTTTCAGATTTGGTTGCAACTTTGGTAACAGCAGTGATGGAGAAACCCATGTTGTCATAGCTATTAGAGCTTTCTCAGCTGCCTCACATACAAATCGCTTGTCTTGTGAAGATTTCAGAAGAAGTTGAACAAGCTAAGCAAGGAAACAGTCACGTAATGAGCATAAGGACAAGGTAAATTATGAGAAAATATATTGCCAAGGCATTCACAAGTCACAAAAGAGAAAAGTTACCAGTGGATCCATCAAGTCAACTATGCTGTCACAGTATGCTTTGAAAATGTCAGCTGATGCCATAATAGCAGTCTTACAAACAGCACTTCTCGGATTTTTCAAAGATTTCACAACAAGGGAGATCACATTTCCCCTGCTCATTTTAAGTAGTAAACATAAGTAAGACCAGACAGAACAAAAGGAGAGCATACAAAAAGATATGTCTAACCAGCTAGAACATCATGATCAAACATCTTTCAGGTTATATCCTAGGTGACAAAGACTTACAACATATCAACCATTGCTTCTTTGTGAAAAAGGGACAGACGCCGAACGTCATTGAGTGCCTCACACACTAA